GCATTGACATAGCCTATATAAATTAATATTATATTGTAGTATTATTTAATCAACGGTATTAGTGTATGCATATTAATTTTGTACAGAACTTCTCAAAAGTTATAAGACCGTTAATTTACGATAAAAATAGAGGAGGATCATCTTTTAAAGTTAATCAACAGATGATTTTACTGAATTGTAAACTTCAAATAGTTATTAAAGTTTTATTACTTTGAAATTTTAACTTATTTGATAAAAATTAAATTATTTTTTCTTGTTTTATATACATATATTGAGTATTATGAGTATTGAAAAACAAAATTTTTAYTTTATTATTCTGAAGATAAATATTTTTTGTACTACTCAGAGATCCATGAAAATAAAATTTTATTTTAACTAGAGAACTAAAATAAAAATTATATTCTACTTAAATGAAAATGAAATAGTTTATTTTTTATAATTGAATACTTGACAAAGGGACTATTAAATTTTTTAAATAGTTTGAATAAATATTCAATTTACCGAGATGGTATATATATTCCAAGAGTGAGCATTCTGGACTTGAAGTTTTCAACATCATTGCATAAAGGGCATCTAAAAAAGTAACCTGCATTTAATGCCAGATCTTGAATACATTCACGATGAAACCAAGTATTGCGTTTGCAGCATGGAGCCCARATATAATTGGGTGATAGAGATGGTGTAATAGTATCCTTACAAATGACACACTGAGTAGGAGYAGAATTTTGTAACTCAGATGAATCTACAATTTGCGGGATACGATGTTTTTGGCAAAATGATCTAAAAATAWTTGTTTCAATGATAATAACATAGAAATAGGTTTAAAAATATAAAATTAACAACATACTTAAATGAAAGAAAGTATTGATGCATGGAACCATTCTTCAATCCACAAGGAAGATGAAATACTTTTYGACATTTTACTCCACAACATGATATAGTTGCACCCTTTTTATKGCAGTAAACGCAAGTCTAAAACCACAATTATGATGAAATTATAACCAAAGGAGCAAATAGGATAGGGCTAGGGAGGACTTTCTCTTCCTGGTTTTTCTAACCTAACAAATCTTTCTAAAGTTATATACCAAGGTTATAAATGTACCAATAAATTTGCAATCAACTTTGCTACTCCTGTTTGAAAAGCCATTTTGCACCATGCAAAAATAGAAAACAAGGCTGAGATTATAGCCCAAATATACTAAATTATTGAAATAGTATCTACACTACATTATTTTAAAACTTTAAGGAATTAAAAAAGCAGAGTAGGGGACTACCTACACTTTGCCATGGACTGTGCCATTTTGTTTTGTTTGTTAATAATATAGGCTTATGTGCAATAACCTTGTTAATTTGAGCAATGGATGAAATTAATAATTCTACAAAAATGATTTAGTGGTTCTATTTCTGATTTAAGGTTCATAAATATTGATACGTTTTCAGCATTAAATGATTTTGAGAATTCCAACAGAAAAATCAATTAATTATTGTGGTCACACATTTATTGATAAATAATAAATACAAATATATTATGTTGAGTAAAATTTTTATTTGATGGCGAAGAAGTAAAAGAAATTTTTTGTTCAAATATCAAAGGGCTTAAGCACCCATCAATTCCATATTTGCGCCTTTGATTATAATACT